ACCAAAAACCATACATAAAAAGTTTTGTATTATTTTCTCATATTTTTTACTTTTTTATATTTTTGTCAGAAAAACTCTTAATTTTCAATATAAGAAAAAAATAATATGAAGAACAATTAAAATAAGGTGCAAAGTCAAATGGTTCGAACCTATATAGCGCCTTATCAAATTATTTTGGACCCCAAGGCGCTTTACACTTCAGACATTCACACATACACACACACACATTCACACACTGATGCTGGTAAGCTCCAGCCACAGCTGCCCTGGGGCACACACTGACAGAGGTGGGGCTGCCATGCACCAGCACCACTGGACCCTCTGACCACCATCAGTGGGTGGGTGAAATGTCTTGCCCAAGGACACATTGACTGAAACTGAATATTTGGCACAAGACTATTACTGCCTTGACTAGGCCAGTAACTGATAACATTGATTTTGATGCATTTTTAGTTTTGGAGTAATGATCTTCTTTTTAATCTTACACTTTTTACCTTAGGGCTTGAAACCGTCCCTCTCGGAAAAGTCTAATAAATATGTCATGTACTGTATAAAAAAATGTATTTTTTTACTTTCCCTGTGTTAAATATTTTCAGCAACTTCAGACCTAACCATACATATAAAGTTTTAAAGAGATACAGACTGTACGGTCGGTGCATATCTCCTATTCTAAACACCTTACAATAGAGCGAGTCATGAAATCTAAAAAAATAATCTTAGAAAACAAATCCTGGCACCCGCATTTGATGTTATCACCCATTAAATGGAGGTTATTAGTCGTTAGCAGGTCCATGGAATGGCTTCAGAATGTCCTGACTGTGGCTCCTAGTGGGTTCTCCCTCCCATAGAATGGACTGATAATGTTACAACTGGCTGGTTAGTATGAGGCATAAAACCGCTAAGGTTAAATGAGGCATAAAGCCAGTAAAGTTAATTTTAGAGAAAATGGTCATGACCTTCGATAAAGTAGACCATTGTTGCAGGCCCAATGTAGGGCAATGGGTAGAGTGCTGGACCAGAAAGAGGGAGAGCCAGGATTGAGACCAGGCATGGGCATCAAGAAAACAGTGCGAACCCCCCCACCCCCGGACAAAAAATTAATTAAAATATGTTTTGGTTATTTACACWTTTAACATTCAATATCATTGATATATTAACCCACTASRGGGCACTGTCAGGACAGTCTGAAGCCATTCTATGGGACTGATAACCACTAATAACRTCCATTTAATGGACTGATAACATCAGAATCTGCTGATCCTGGCCAAGTTTCATGAAAATAGTCTTTAAACTGACTGAAATATTCAGAATCAAAAATGCTCTTAGTGGCAGCAACTGCATTGAAGCATTTGTGAGAAGGTTGATGACTGTTTAATGTTTTCTCTATATTTGAACAATGAATATATTGAAATGAATTCTTGACTGTACATGAAGCTACTCAAACTAAACGTAGCTTTCCGAACAAACTACGGTTAATTCATGATTTAGCAAATTACGTTTTCACATAAAACCTGATTTGAATATATTATTTTCAACTTGATAAATAAATCATCATTTAAGAACTGCAGTTTGTATTCCTCAAGTTATCTTTGTCTGATATTTACATTTGTTCATAGATCTGGAACATTATAAGTGTAAAAAAAGAAGAAACATGTAAGGGGGAAAGTAGCACTGTATTTTCCATTTTTAAACTCTGCTCAGAGTTTGATAATTTACCGTGGCTTCTAACTTATGCAGTTTGAAGAACATATCTAAAAGTAATTTGTTACAAATCAGAACCTCTTCAGATCATTTGAACAATTAAGTGGAGGCAGCCACGCAAAATAAAAAAAAAATTCAAGTAGTGGGATCCCCATCTTAAGTCTGTGTCACACGGCAAGATTTGAGGTCAAAGCGATCTGACGTTCTTCTGAGTTGACTAGATCACTCATWACTCCCCACCCACGGCAGGAATATCTGCTAAAATTRTCTTCAGAGCCATCACAATAATCAGAGCATCCTTAAGATTGTTGGAAGGGCAAACATCGGCATGATTATCCTGTCATGTGAACCAGGCGTTACCTAACCTGCACCAACTACATGTTGACACTAGATGGGAAATTTTCTTCTTTTTTTAATTAAGATTATCTGTAATTCCTTCTTCTGATTGCAAAAACATTTCATGCTGGAGCTCTGATTGTCCCATCTCTGAGGGGAGGAACATGTCAATATCTGAAATTAATTAAACATTATTTTCACAGTTTCTCTAGAAATGCAGGAGCTGCATAAGAAAACCATCAAGCAGCAGTTTATACTACTGTGAATGTTTTTCTCTACAGTCAGATCTTTACAGCAAAATTATTCAAACTTCTTATAAACCAAATATTGCTCCTGCAGCAAACAGCTACGAAGTCCAGTATAACTAACAAACCTTTTAGGTTTCCTGTCAGGATTAAAAGAAATGAACACTGTAGATAGTCAGGGTGAAACAAGATGTTTCGAGACTAAATGCCACAAGTTTTCTCATTTGGTTGAAAACTGCTTTGTGAAGCATTATCAAGTTGCTGTCTGTTTGAAGGAAATTTTGTAACTGATTGACTAAATGTTAATCCAGTTTTATATTTTTACATATTTTACATTGCAGCCATTAGGAGAATGAGAGTTAGTGTGTCTTATCGTGTTATTTCTGTCTGTAAAAACAAAAGTTTGTTACGTTAATGTCTGACATAAAAGGTAACAACACCTCCAGGAGTGTAACCACTTASAGACATGTGTTAAAAGGTTAAATCATCATTATATGAGCAGAGGCTTTTTTGTTTTTGAGGTTGTKTGTTTTTGCACTCTCGGTCTTAGAGCAGCCTGGGACAGTCTGGGCTCTGTTTTTTACATTCAGATAGACAAGGGTCATTTTACTCYGAGGCCTGCTGACTTTGTGTGC